CCTCCATTCGTGAACTGGTCTGACTGGGGCCCTGCCTTGCGTCTGGCCGGCTGCCCCGGTTGTTTCTATAGACGAGAAAAGCCTGCTCTTTGTTCGGTGGTTGGGAACGGCAGGGGCTCGCCCAGGTGAGCGTTGTTAGGCTGATGTGAGTGAGTGGCTTCGCTCCTAGTCAGTGGTGCCATGGCACTGCCCCAGCCTGGTGGTACCCAGCCAGGCTTTTGAGTTCCATGTGCTGGATTAGCAATGGAAGACTCTGGAGAATTCACAGTTCTGTCTTACAGGTTTATTAGGACCTGAGAAACTCAACTTGGAGATAAAAAGGGGTTGGACCAGGCAAAACCCAGACTCCTCGGCCCCTAGAAGCCCTGGGAGATCGGTCCCTGGACCCCTTCTGGCCTCCCTTCCCCACGTCCCACCCCGGGCAGCAGACTGCATGGTCATCTCTTCAGTAGGCCCTGACCTCTCCAGTCCAGTCCAGCACTGGCTGTGCCCTCTACCTGGGACACTCGCCCTGCCACCCCGTCATCCCATCTCAGCTTACCTCCTCTTCCCTTAGGGCTCATCCTTGCTTTACTTCCTGCAGGGGACCCTCCTGGGACCCCCAGGCCTGGTCATTGCTTCAAAATGTCGGTTTTATTATTATTATTCAGATATGGCGAGGCTAATAGATCTGGAGACAGTTACCACTGAGAAGATATTTTGTTATAGTTCCTAAGAGGAGGAGCCACCCAGGGCCACACGGGGAAGCATCAGCAATGGGCAGAAGGCTCTTTGGGGGTTTCCGCAGGAAGGAGCGGGTGAGGCAGGGTAAGCAGGCTTAGGGTTGGCTAGAAGGGATCATTGCAGCAGGCTCTGGGGCATAGGGGCTGACCGTAGTTTGGTACCTGGCCCTGGGGTGATTCAGGTACGGGGACAGAGGGACAGTGGCCCCGAGTGAGAGAGCCTTATAAAGGAGGAGGTTGGGATGTGGACCCTGGATTGGTTGGTACGCAGATGGAAGGCTCGCCTGTATGCGAGTCCTTTACTGTCTCTACAAATTGGCCAGCGCTGAGGGACGTGTCCCTCCAGAGTCCGCAAGGCCCCACGACATCAAAGCATCAGAATTAAAAGACACGCTCACTACACTCAGTTGTTCCTCCCACAAGTTCCCGTAGCTCACTGGTCCCGCACCCTGTGCGCTGTGAGCTCAGAGAGGCAGAAGTAAAAAAAGTAAAAAAGGTGACTTTTTTAGGGCAGCGCATGAGTGACTTTCTAAAAATAGTTATGTGGTTAATTTAATAAATAGTAGGAATCAACCGGCAAATATATTTCATTGATAAAATAAATTTACATTAAAAACATTGTAAGTAACAAAAAATTGTCAATGGAAAGGCAAGCCCGTTCTTCAAGAGATCTGTCAGGTAAATGACATTCCAGGTGATGTGAGCACATGAAATCGCACAGGCACCCACCTTTCACCTGGCCCCATAGACACACTTGACACTCGACCTTGTTGAAATCAAGGAATGACGCCAGGCCAGGGCCAGCGCAGGTGTCATCTCCCCTCCCAGTCCCGGCTGCCCCAACCCGGACGTCCTGGGATTATGGGGTCAGCAGTGGGCAGAGCCAAGGAGTGATTTTGCCTGAACTTTGTTTTGCGGACCAGAAAACCGAAGCCCAGAGTCAGAGGACTTTCCCAAGGTCACACAGCGAGTTGCGCTTCTTTCCTATTGCTGAGACCACCCCCGGCCACATAGGACTTAGCTCGAGGGCAAGACCCACACCGTGGGGGTCACCTGGTCCTGCTTCGAGTACCCACGGGGCCTCTCATCGCACACAGCGTGCAAGCCCTGAGGTCTGAATATTCCAAAATGGCAGGGCCCTGGCACTCTGGGTCTCCACTATCCACCCAGGCGGGTCGAGGATGCGTCCAGGGTCACACGGCCGGTCAGTGCCGCCAGAACCGGAGTCGAGACTGGGCGTTCTTTCAGCGTACCCCACTGCCTCCCCACGTGTGTGACGGGTTGGAGTGAGCTGAACTGGACAATCTGGGAAGGCAGTGAGTGCCTCCCCCTGGAGCATTCAAGAAGCAATTGGACATCCCACCAGAATCCCCTCTAACTGTGGCATTGGGGATTTGAGTACAAGGAGTTCTAGCTGGGAGCTGTGCTCCGTGAGCTTTAGTGTCTGAGCCACTAATGGCCTCTGCTCTTGGGATTTCTGACTTGTCTGGGCCCATGGGGCCAGGTGACTGCACAGGCCAGTACACAGGGCACCATAAAAAAAAAGGGCTTGAAGGACAGGTGCCGGGACCATGTCTATTTATTTGTGTTTGTTGTCTTTGACATTAGCTAACCACTCAGCACCTAGAGCTCCATGGGGGGTGTACGTGCAGAGGGCTTTGGGGTGGGCTCAAGGCCCGGATGCCTCACTCAGACCCTGTGGGGAGTGATGGATGGAGCCAAGGCCAGGCAGGCATCTGGCTTAGGAACTTGGGAGTGTGGCACCCTGGGACGTGTACCTCGAGTGGCCACGAGAGGGCGCCTCTGGGCCTGCTCCTGGCTGTGCCTCAGAAATGATACCTGAGGGACCCCAGCTGGCCCGTAGTGGACACGTTGGTCCAGGACAATGTATTTCAAACCCTTTAATTGAAATCTGACATGGGGAAAGTTGGGGGGAGGGGACGGAGCAACAAAGTGGGAGCGAATCTGCCCATTTGTGCAAAGGCATCTGCTGAGATGTGACTGTGCCCCACGCAGAAGCAGACACACACACACACGCTCGCATGTGTGAACATGTGTGCACACACAGACGCACACACACAGGGCTCATCCTCGTGCAGAAGCAGAGCCGCGGGTAGGGGGTAGGTACTGCTACATCCAGTTATCCAAGTCAAGAGACGTTGCTTGAGCACTTAGTCCTAAGGGCTGCATGTGGTTGTGGGCTCTGTGGGGACTAAGCTGCCATAGTCCACCCCGCCGTAACCAGCTCCTCTGCAAGGCAGAATGTGGGTGTCGGGAGAGTAGAATCCCAGACCTGTGGGCGAGGAGGCAGGAACATTCAGAGGCACCTCCCATTTATAGAGTGTTCATAATTTCTGGAGCATAGCTGCAGGTAGGCAGAGCAGCTGCTTTCCTGTTCCACTCTACGATTTTCGTGAGAAGCTGCACGCGAAGCCCTGGAGGAAGGCTGTCCTCAGGTCTTTCGAGCTGTACTGACTCTAGGGACTTCGGTGACCCCATGGGTGGGGGGTCCAGGACTTCGACGAACCAAGTTCCCCAGTGTGATAGCTGGAAGGTGTCTGAGAACCCTCCAGACCAGTCTCCTCCTTTTCCAGAATGACACTGCTCCTCCCCTAAGGCGGGAAGAGGAAGTGTGTGGCACCCCAGTGGCTGGTCTCCGTGAGACGCCACATCTCCTGCAGCCCTCAGCTCTGTGCCTGGAACAGGAAGTGCTCAGAACCTTTCCTGACGTTGCCACGGTGCCCACAACACCCCGAGGAAACCAGAGGCGCACTCCCCTGCCGAAGCACCTTGGCCCCTAAAAGGATAAAAGCTCGCCCCAGATGTCACGAGCGCTCTGAGGAGTCAGCCTCAGGGGTGAGCGATTCTGTAATCCGGAGGCCCCCGCAGTGAGAAGGCCTCCCTTCGGCCAGCTGCCCCTGGAAACGCCCGTGGTCAGCGAGGGGGCTTCAGCGTGGTAAGTGTGGCAGGTGCTTTTTATCCACTTGAAAATGTTTTCCATCCCTCGTGATCGGCTTGGTGGGGAGGGGCTTCGGGGTTCCAGTCTGGGAGACATGAGGGATCTGGGAGCCCAGGGACCATCGCAAGTAGCAAATTGTATGGTCAGCCTACCTAGATCCCTCTGGTCTCCATCCCTTGGGACACGGTGAAGAATCACAGGTTGTCTCTTATTTTGCTTTGTCTAAGCCACTTTCCCAGCACAAAAGCAGAGAGTTGTCAGTCTGTTACTGTGCTTTAAAAGTTTAATATTCTCTTGATTGGATAACCTGCACTCAAGGCTTTACTCGTTGTTACTTTTGTGGCCAAACATAGATCCTTTAGGCAGGTCTCCTCCATAATATTTTGAATAGACCCTTTGGAAATTTTCTGAAAATTTGAACTTGACCTGTTTTGTCTTCTAGGTGCTTCTTCCCCGCCCCCTGCAGTGTAATCTCCACTATCATTCATGAAAATGTTGAATCCGGTAAGTAGACCAGCTCCCCAAGGGGCAGCGGAAGCACCTGGTTACAAGTTTCCAGGCGGGGAGGGTCCTGCACCACGGGGACCTCAGGCTTTGCTGGCTGACCGCTGGGAAGCGGTGTCAGAATCCTGCTGTCCGAGCCCCCTTCGAACATGTCTCACGCTTCGGCGGGACTGTGTCGAGATTCACATCACACAGTTCCCCAGCACCCTCCGTATTCCAGGCACCGGATGAGGCGCGGCTCCCCAGCTCCGTTTCGTTTGATCATTGTAATGTCACCACCGCCATCAGCGTCCTCATCCTCACCATCATTGCCATTATTCCCATTTCACACATGAGGACCAGGAGGCTCAAAAATATTAAATGGCTTGCCCAAGGTCACACACCTAGTTAGTGGCAATAATGAGATTCGAACTCGGACCCTCCCCATCATGGTCCCCGGTCTCCCCACCACACCGCTGGCGCCCGGCTCGGCTTAGGGTCAGTTACACCCATTCCCGTGGGTCCCTCGTGGTGCACGTTTCCTGGCTAGCTTTCCTTGAGCCGCCATGTCTAAGTCCTCATCCAGGCTGCGTATTCTACTGCTCCCTTAAGGAAATCACTGAAAAAACATCTAAAAGTCCCCGCCCAGAGACCCAGCTGTTCCATGCGTGGACGTAGACCCAAAACGATTGAGAACAGACATTCAAACAGGAACTCGAACACAAGTGCTCATAGCAGCTCTAGGTGGAAAGGACCCGAGTGTCCACCAACTGATGAAGGATAAACAAAAGGTGGCCCGTCCACACAATGGAATAGGATTCAGCCGTAAAAAGGGGATGAAATTCAACACCTGCTACAACGTAAGCGAACCTTGAAGACATTATGCTAAGTGAAAGAAGCCACACTTTAAAGCCCACACCTTGTATAATTCCATTTATATAAAATATCCATAACAGCAAATCCACAGAGACAGAAAGCAGATCAAAGGCTTTTAGGAGCTGAGGTGGGGAGACTTGGGAGTGACGGCTTCATGGGGATGAGGTTTCCTTTGCGGATAATGAAAATGTTCTGAACTAGGTGGTGATACGCCATATACTAAATGCCACTAAATTTACACTATAAAAGGGATAAAATGGTGAATTTTATGTTTTGTGTTTTGTGCATTTTACCACAATAAAAATAAAACCATTCGCTACCCAGGTTCCCCCCAACTTGGCATCTCTCTGAATCAGTCACACGTTAGGACAAAGACTTAAGGAACAGTTTCTCGAAGCGTAACCCCATCTCTGCTTGTGGGTGCTTCAGAGCTAACTGCAAAGAAACAACCTTTCTCCCTGACCTTGGCCTCTGCACCGACTATCCTAGGTCCTAAATTCCAAATTACTTTGTGGCTTGAAATCCTCTGTCTACTGAATATATTTGTTTTGAGAAGATGCCCATGTTTGAAAACTAATTAGCATTTTCAAATCCGTCTTGATTTTCTTTCTGCTGTGCAGTTTGGGAAACCTGACATTTTTGTGAGGTTAAAAAAGTCTTTCTTTCTTCCCAAATAGCACAGCATTCGGCTGGAACGCCGGATAGCTGGCTCAACCAACCGGTGGCGTTTTCCCAAAGAGCCTTTCTCCCAGGACCTGCTGGCGCTCTCCCAGATGTGCAAGGCCATGAGCATAGACTTCGATGATGCCCTGAAGGACCCAGACAGGTGGGGAGACCAACGGCCCACGGGGTGGGGTGCCTGCTTGGGGCGAATCGCATTTCTGGTTGGGCCCCTCTGATTGGGCAGATGGGCTGTCACGGGGCACATCTGCAAGGAAGGCTGCCTTTGGGATCGTCCTTTAGGGAGGCACGGGGTCAGTGTGACCACTTCCTCTGAGAATGTCTGTGGGCGGTGACAGAAGTCCAGAGAGAGACTGACCATTTTTTTTTTCCTAGATTTTCCTTTGCATTGGGAATTTTGGACCCTAACAGGATTCTGTTATAAGTTTATCAACTGATTTGTTGACAAACGAAACTTAGCTCGTCCTGGCTCAGTGCCTGCACCACGATCGTGAATGCACACATCCATGCGGTCACCAGCTGCCTTTGGTAGGAAGCTGGCCCCACCCCTCACTCCCATGGCGTTCTGAGCAGCAGCCCTAGAGCCTCACGTCTCCATGTTACGAGTTCTTTCTTGCCTCTCCTGGGGACACAGAGCTGGACCCTATTGCAGAAGGGACACCTCACTTCTCTGGTGCTTTAGACCTTACTTGATGCCACTGCCCTCCCTGTGCTGGCAGCACCTGCCTCGTGAGCACACAGTCCAGTCTACCTGAGCGTGGCCAGTGTCCCCAGGCATCGCCTGCTAAAGAAAAGCCACTGGCTCTGTGTTTGCTGAGCAAGTAGCCAAATCTTCCCTTTCCAGACCCACTGGCCAGCCCTGCTCCAATGCCCCTCCCACCCCCACAGGCGACTGACTAGAGTACATGCATTTGAATAAATCAAAATCCATCTGCATTTGGGGTCTAAATTCTCCCATGCCCCTAGCTTAGAAAAATTGCTTGCTGTGAATTACTATTTCTGGCCTTGGCTATTGATAGCCTTAAACTATCCTGAGTTTATTTTGTACTTAGGGTTTTGCCTGAGTGCCTGGGCCAGGCTGGCAAGGTGGGCACGGGAGCTGATCCGGAAAACTGACGAGGGAGGCTGGGCAGCAGGAGCAGAGGTCTCCAGGGGCTGGTCTGTGGCATCGATGAGCTAAGCCAGGGGTGGCGGGGGAGGCCGGAGGGCTGGGGCACAGAAACCTGGGGATGATGATAGTTATTCCGGGCTTCAGGACTATTAAAAGCAGCCTATCGGACAGGATTAGAACTCCTCCTCCTCTGTGACCTTTAGTCAGTGGTGTAACCACGCTGAGCCTCAGTTTCCTCCTCTGTGACGTGGTGATAGCAGCAGGTCCCTGGAAGTGTTATCTTAGGGATTAAATCAGACAGTACATGGGGAGTGCTTTGCCCTGTTTCTGGCAAATAGTAGACGCTCAATAAATAGAGCGTCTACTATTGTCTTAGCAGCAGTTTTAGTTATCGACCCCAGTTTGGGGGTGTGTCGTCCCTGTGCTTGGCCAGCCAACCACCCCCATACTCCAGTCTGCCTCGTAGCACCTTCCCCAGATCAAAGCACCTTTCCTGCACCACGGCAGACCTGCCTCTCCCCTTGGCGGTGCTGGGCCGCTGTGGATCCAGAGGCAGGCTAAGGCAGGTGGGCACTCCGAGTGGGCTCATCACGTGTGTGTCTGGCAGTCAGCTGACCCAGGCTCAGCTCGGCAAGCATGTCATGCTCTGCCTTCTTCCTGAGACCGTGGGCTAGCCTGGGCGTATTCTCGTCCTGGTGACGGCAGAGGGCAAGAGCGATAGCTCAGTTGCACACATGCTTTTCAAACCTTCAGCTGCGTCACATCCACAAAGATCCCCTTAGCCAGAGCAAGTCGCATGGCCAAACTCAAAGTCAAGGGCAGGAAATCAAAGCGGAGATTTGCAGTTAACGAGCCAAAGCCCTTTGGATGGTTTGCCAAAGGACGTCCATGTCCTTAAGAAATCCCCAGGAGGTCCCCCTTTCCCCTTCTTGTTGCTCCACCACAGGTCATTCCTGGGGAGAGTGAGCCCCCAGCCTCACAGCGTAGTCCCAACACCCTTATGTGCCACTACATCACAGGCCATTTGGTCCCCAGCAGTGACGAGAACAACTCACAGGTGCCATTTATTCCATTAACTTTTCCACTGGTCTTAACCTGAACCCAGCCCTTGGAATCCGCGGCGCCTGCATGATAAATGGTACATCTGGGCAAGCAGCCATGACCCCAGGAGTGACCAAGGCGATGTCCTCGCTCCTCTTGTCTGGCACCTCCCAGCTCAGCTGATGACAGTGGTGTTTGTGAGGGCAGTTGAGCTCATGGGCATTGCCCCATAGTTTCCAGGATCCATTGCTTCATTTTGAGGTCACGGTCTGAACTCCTGACCTTGGCCAGCTTTTCCCAGATGTGTGAACTCAACCACCAGGGGCATTGAGTCTGGCTTAGGTCAGCTCCAACTGCTCCTGTTGGGTAAACAGCTCAGGCTCTCACTGCCTTCCTGGGGCTGAGTCACTCGGAAGGGATGTCACCTGGTCGATATTATTCTGGACACAGGTTCCCCCACCCAAGCCCTCCTCCAGGCAGCCTGGCCCACGAGGCTCCCGGGGTCACTGAAAACAGCATGGCAAAGATGACACTGACCAGCTGTGGTCATCACGTAGCCCTTGGCTGGTTGGCTTTTTGGGGATGACTGTCTTCAAGCTGCAAACATGCGACTCGGACTTTGTTTCACTTCCTTGCTCAGCGGGATGAGTCAGTGTTTACGGAAAAGCATCTTATCTTTACACATCATTCAGTCGTTGAACAGGTGTTTTCTGAGCACTTGAACGATGGCTGTGCTAGGCTCACAGCAGTAAATAGACCCCACATCTGTCTTTATGGGAAGCAGAGCCTGTCGCAGAGGATGCCTGAGTAAACAGGTGACTCCGAGACACTGTAGAAAGAGTTTTAATGGGAGTAGTGCCCGGGCGGGCAGCGGGGAAAGCCGCCAGCCCAGCCTGCCCCGAGAAAGCGACGACGCAGCTGATTCGGACGGACGAGTGGGAGATCGTCAAGAGCAAAGGCGAGAAGGACACTCTGGGCAGAGGGAGCTGTGCGTCCAGGGGAAGGGAAACAGGACAGTGGATGAGGCTGCTGCGGAGGGCCGCAGTGGGGACGGGACGAGAACACAGGCATACGCAGGAACTTGGTGGCCATGCGAAGGAATTGGGGCTTTTCCCCAGGAGCACTGGGGGACACTGAAGGACCTCAGCAAAAGACAGGCCAGATCGGATATGTATCTCGGATGGTTCCTCGGGCTGCAGGGTGGGGTACGCATCAGAAGGGAGCATGCTGGGGACTGGAGACGGCCAGTGCTGGGGGAGAGATGTTGGCTCGGAGGAAGGTCCTAGCAACACGGGCAAAGAGAGATGGATGCAAAAGATCTTTCGTCAGACCTAGGCAGGTGATCGGATGTGACAACGCTCGGTGTGCTGTCCTGGGCCTCGGGGGGCTGGTGGAGGCATTTCCTGACACAGGGAACCCCGGTGAAGGAGCAGGCTGGGTCCAGGGTAGATGCCAAGTTGAGTTTTCAGTCACATTGAGACTGGGGAGTGCGCGCCCCCTGGGCAGCGTGTTCTGGACGTCCCCAGAAACGCCAGGACCCTTTCTTCCTTGCTCCAGTAGATATTTATTGAGCACCTACTATGTGCTGGACATTGTTTTAGACATTCACTCAGAGAGGTGCCATTCAGGCAGCCACACGTGGCCTCAGATACCTCACTCAGGCCTACCCACAAACCAAACACGGGAACGACGTTTCAGAAACAGCCATCAGACCGAGATTGTAGTTTATCAACTCGGCAGACAAATGGCGATCGGACGAAAGTGCCCCAGAGGGCGAGATGTGATAACATTGATTGACGGGCGCTTCAGGGGCACTCACTCTGACGGGAGTGATACAGGTCGCAGTTGGAGAAAAAGATATTAACTCTTGGATCTTTTGTTTGTATTTTTCCTTGAGGTTATGCATTTCAAAAAGTCGGAAAGGTTTCTCTGAGAATTTGAAGAACAAGGCCCTCCAAAGCGGGGATACCGGTGAGTTCTTGTCGCCAGTGGATTCAGTCAGAACGTTGCTGACCTCAGGGCATCTCGTGATCTCTATGGGAGGACACCAGACCATAGTCTCTGCGCACTGCACAGAGTCTAATGTGTAATAGATGCCTGTAAATATTTGTCAGGTGCACGATGAATGACACCAAGCCGGCAAACACGTTCTCACAGGCTAACGGTCATGGTACAGGCAGAGGTGCTGATTTAATAAAGAGGCTTTGAATCGGAAGACTGAACAGAAGCCCTTTCAAGCACGGGGCAGGTGTTCCTCTCAGCTCTAACGAGTCAAGAGGACTTTTCTGACTTATAATCAAGAACCAGACTAGGTCTGTCCAGCTGAGAGAGGCTCGTTGAGCCTCACAGGAGCCTAGATGGGTCAGTTCCTTAAAAGAGCAATGTTGGACAGACCCCACGTCTCAGCGCGGCTGGCCGAGGTCAGAGCCAGCCTTCTTCCCAGGAGGCACTGAGTGAATCCTTGTTGCCTGTCAGCTCTGGCTGACAGGGGCTTAAGTAGTCTGAGGCCATCTCCTGGCCCCGGAGAAGAGGCCTGGGACTGGTTGTGATGTCCACCGTGCATCTGCCGTCCTGTAAGTAGAAGTGGATGGCCAGTGAGGGACATGCTTGATCCATGGATCTCCTCCTGGCTAAAACCCCCCCAGCGGGGTGGGATTCTTTCCACCCGGCAAAACAGGGCCGTCACCTGAGGGGACTGATCCAAGATTTGAGATGCGAACCCAGGTTCTGAATCCCAGCACCAAACAATATCACAGAGCCGGCGAATAACAACAACAATAATAATAATGGGAGAGGAAACAGGTACCCAAGGTCACGTAGTCAAAACAAGAAAGAAGTAGGCGGGGCTAGTGGCCCTCAAGGTCCGTGTCCGGCACTGAGGTTTCAGGGTTTGGGGCGTCACCTGGAGCCCCGCCCCCTTCTGCCCGCTCTGTGCTCAGGGGAGTCCAGCTGGCACAGCCCTCGTGGCTGCCGCCTCTCGTGCCTCACCTGGCCCGGCGTCCCTGGGGTCCATCTGCCCCCCCCTATCGGTCTCTCTTCCGTTTATCCGTCCGGACTGTTTGTGGGTGAGACCCTCCCTCGCGTAAAGTCCTTTCCAGTCTGCAAAGAGCCTCCGTCACATCTCACATCACACTCTCATTTCACACCTGTGAGCTGGTTCTCGATGGTCTTCGTTCCCTCAAGGAAACTGAGGCTCACAGAACTCTGCTCCCTGGCAATGGGCCTTCTGATGGCGATTGCCTTTCAAGGGCGGTAATAATTAGGCACCAATAGCCCAGTAGTTTTCCACAGGGAGCTGGGCACTGATTTTGCTCCCCTGGGGACTTTGGGAAGTGTCTGGAGACACATTCCATTGTCACAACCCCGGGGGGCAGGTGCTCCTGGGGAGAGTCTAGGGGTTCTGCCAAACAACCCCCAGCGCACAGGACAGTCCCCACCATGGAGAATTTTCTGGCCCAAAGTGTCAACAGTGCCGAGGCTGAGAAACGCTGTAATGGGGGAAGGCAAGACGAGGCCCTCACAAGTGTCCCAGCCAGCAGCCCCCAAGTCGGAGGGCAGCCCACGAGCCCCCGAAGCCCTGCAGCCGCTGGCCGGCCGCCCTCTTGGTTTATTGCTGCCTGTGTTACTTTGGGTCTGCCGGTCACATCCCCCTGGGAGCCAGCAGGCTCCCTGAGGCCCACGCTGTCATCTGCGTCACTTCGTTTCTGGAAGGCCTAGCGCGGCCACCTGCCTGCCCCCGACCGCTCAGTGGCGGCAGCGTGGAGGGAGGCGCGGGAGGCCGGCCTGCGCCTCTGGAGCGTGTGTCTCTGCGTCACTTGCTCAGCGGCCTTTTCTCTCCTCAGCCGTGATTCTCGAATGCCTGGGCCTCCAATGGGAGCTCCACCTGCCCCAACTTTTTCAGTCCGAGACCTTGACCAAGCTTTACCTGGTGGCCCTGGGAGAGGACACCTCAGACCCCGTGGAGGAGCTCGAGAAGCTGCTGCAAGGTACGGTCCCCAGCGCGCAGCCCCGGCGCCCTCTGCTTTTAGAGACTCCGGCGCGGCGTTTGGTGTGGGGACCGCGGTCACTCCGCGGTGACCCAGGGCATGGCCTCAGCGTGGGGTTCCACCTCAGTCTCCCTAGCCATCAAACGGGGCGATCGTTCTTACCGGAGCTCGGGGGGTCTTGGGGCGGTCCAGCGACGGGCCCGACACGTAGGTGCTCTTGGCAAACGCGTTGTCATCCCCGCAACTCCCCGCAGCGCCCGCCAGCCGAGCCGGCCCCGCCCGCTTCTGCGAGGG